GACTGTCCCAAAATGCAGCAAGAGTAAATGATTGTTGGACAGAGCTTACACCTTGCAAGCAGGGCTTGCATGGAGCTGGGACAAAGTCATCGGGACATGCAGAACCAGTTACAGCTCGGTTTCCCACATTGAAATAGTGAGTATAATTAAAAATAAATCACCATAGCTTTTAGTTTGATGAAATTACCACTTATATTAAGAGCAGCTTGAGCTGACTCTAAATCACTTTCTGCAGAGTGTCACTTTGGGATTTAAAATATTTGATTGGTTAAAGAATGTGTTGTGCTGCATTGGGGAAATAAAACAGTAAAATGTGAATCACACACGGTGAATGCAAGAGGTTCTCAGATTCTTGGATGCCTGAAGTCTGTAAGAATTGAAATTAGCCCTTCGGAAAACAGGGGTTGATTAATACAAATATTCTCCCAACTACTTAATTCATCTGCCCTAATCAGCTGTGGAAGTCAGTTTTGACTTTCTGGCCAAAAGGATGATAAGGAAAAGTACATACTGCAAAAACCAAGTCAGGGGATTCCTTACTAAAAGTCAGTTTGATTCCCTGTTTGCTACTGGTGAAGATATTTAAATACTCATTCAAGAGATGACCTTTAAACAGAGACTTTAGAGAATGTATGTAAAATTGAACAAAATAAGAAGTAGCACAACTCTACAAAGTCTTCTGAGCTGAAATACCTTAGAGACTGAGAAGCAAAGCAAGCTGTGTGAGACACGGGAATGGAGAGTCACAATCTTCTGCCCTCAATGCACAGCTCAGGTTGCACCTAGCTGGTTGTGCTGAGGCAGCTACAAAGACTTCAGTGCTTTCAAATATGAAAAAACATCTTTTACTTTGGTGACTTTATTGCAAGTTTTACAATATTGAGTATTTTTTCTAAGTCTCATCTCCAAAATGTATGAACTTAGATGAGAGGCATAGCTTTCATTCCTTTTTGTTTCTTTTACTCTGTTAAAGCTGGTTCCTATCCAGAATTATTAGGATTAGAAATTTAAAACTATGACTTTTTTTTAAAGCATTTTCTGATATTGCATTCTATGTTGCAGTTATGGTACCTTAGGGGAAACGAGAACTTGAGCTCATGAATCCTGGAAGTTTGGGGTTTATGATGCTGCAGAAAGACTGTTTGTTGAGTACAAGGCCTGATCTGGAAATGCATTTAAGACATGCATGACTTTGAGCATATAAATAGTTGCACAGAAGTCAATGGGACATAAATTTATGAATTTGCCTAAGTGCTTTGCTGGATCTTTGCCTAAGGAACCACTTACCATGAGTTTGAATAACAGAATCATGGCCTCATTAATGAACAAACCTCTGGATGAAGAGCATCAGTGAAATGTGAAATCCAGCTCCGTGCTGTATCTCTGCTATTCGGCTTGATTTCATCTCTACGTAAACTCATTCTGCTGTGCTGACATTTATGTCCTTTGGCTTTTCCAAAATGTGATTTGTAAGTTCTATTCTACACTTGTGAGGGCAACGGGACTGTGCAAGGTGTAGAGCAGCAGTCACGGCAGTCTGGGAATGGTGCACATCAGAACCCAGCTCTAGAGGGCAGGCACTGGAATAGCTTTTTTTTTTTTTCACAGAAAAAGGCAGTTCCAGAACTTCATCTGTGAATTGTGGCTTTTGCCTTCCACTTTTCTCTTTTCAAGTCCTTTTTGGCAGTAGAAGACGCTGCCTAGGAAAGAGAAACAAGAATGATTAAGACCAGTCACTATTGTCAGGCCTCTGCATGGCTCATTAGTGCTGGCAGACACCAGAAATGCACCTATCACTGCACAAAAGACCAGAAATAACTTTGGGAAATGGCTGCTGGGGTGGGGCTACAGGGAAAGGAAGAGGACTGTTGATTCATAGACTGCAGTGGGTGAAGATGGAGCCATTCAGGTGGACCAGCATGAGGCCTGTGCACTGCAGGGATTGCTCCAGAACTTCACGAAGCCTGCTTATTTTCTGGTATCACCAGCAAGGTATCTGTCCCACTTCTTGGGTGCACAGGCCTCGTGCTGGCTGTCTGCACAGGGTGAGCTGTGTCCTCTGTGGCAGCTACTTGCTTTGGCTCTGCCCAGTGCCTCTGGGAACAATCACAGCACCTGACTGAAGCTGCTCTGCTAACTATTACAGTTATTAGCTTGGACAAAAATAGGGTCTCTGCCTTCAGGATATTACAATATAAATAAAAACAGGAGCATGGCAATGGGGCAGGGTTGAAATACCTTTGATCCTCTGCTGTAAGCAATTGTATTGGGGTTGCTTTAAAACAAAAAGCAGCAGCTGCCCTTGGGAGATCATGGAACAAACCATGAGCATGAGGCAGAGCGGTCATTTACTGAGTGTCACTTGGAAATGTTCAGCAAATGTGGGTATGCTCAATACTCACAGAATCATAGAATGGGCTGGGCTGGAAGGGACCTTAAATGTCATCTAGGGCAGGGATGCCTCCCACTAGACCAGTTTGCCCAAAGCTCCATCCAACCTGGTTTTGAACACCTCCAAGGATGGGGCATCCACAGCTTCTCTGATTTAATAAATCCATGTCAGAATTCTTTCACTCAGAAATAGAATTGTTGATAGAAATTAGAGGTATTTTTATCTGTTGTTCAACTGAATAAGAAATGCTACCAAGTCATAATGAAACTTTTGCAAAATGTCCTTGTCTGACCCGGAGCTCGCCACTGCCACTTGCTTGAGAGGCCCCCACCTATTTGCTACATTTTCTCTTAAGCATCCATGAGGCCATCTCTGGATTTCAACTGGCAAAAGGCATTAATAGGGGAGAAGAGCTGCCTTTCTGCTGCAAGTGTGGTAATCCCTCCATTCCCACAGCCCCTGGGCGTGCGATCAGCTGCGGAGCAGAGAGCAGTGGAAGCCGAGGGCTCAGCCAGCTGCTCGGTGTGTCCCCAGCGGCAGCAGTAGCAGGAATGTAACAGACAAACACTATGGGGAGACCTGGTGTGCACCGAATCGGTGTATTAACCTCCTACCCTGAGAATATCAAGTAAGCAAATGTTTGGAAGTTTTAATTTATGAAGATTAGTGTGTCACATATATTTTGAGGAAACTTCGGGAGTGTTTTCCAGAAGTAAACCCCAAAACTTTTCCAGGATTTTCAGGCACTTTGTTGGTTAAAGGACCTTCAGCCCTTCCCATTCTCACAGCATCCTCTGCTGTGGTTCACACACAACTGTGTTAACATAAGTCTGGAATATCTCAACACATAATTATTTATCCTTCAATAAAACAAAGAAAACCATGTCTGAATCTGACTAATATCCCTTCCTCAGCCTGCCAAGTGGGGCCTTGTGTTTTCAGTATTGAAAACCAAGCCTGACTTGCTGCATATTTTGTGTTACCATGGTTTATGTCCAAATGCAAGGATTTAATTTTGTCCGTCATCAAACCATGGTTTCCATATGACACCAATACATTCCTTCCTCTGCCTGCTGTTCTGACAGACGACAGAATAGAATTAAACATTCCAACCAGCACACTTAAAACGCAAGAGCTTATGTTCCTTTGGCTTTGGAGATCAAGGGGCAGATCTTCAGTGGGTATAAATTGTCTTCACTGGAGCTATGAAAATTTACACCACTTACCCCAGCTGAGGTACAACCTTGGATGTATTTATTGCACGGCACAATTTCAAGAAGATAGATTCAGTAAGACTGAAAATACAATGGACTCCCCTTGTCTTCCTCTGTGCCTGGCTATAATGAATTATTATTGTTGGGTTTCCTTCTGGAGCAGTTACTGACCGGCCCAAATTATGCTTCTGGAAGCCAGTAGAGAGAAACCCCTGCGCATATTTATCCCCTGACTGCAGCTTGCCCTACCTGCCAGCCAGTTTCAGCTGAATGGTATCAACATTAAAAGAAGCCAATCCCCCGACTCTCCCAGACTGAGACTAGAAAAATGATCGGCTCCTTCTCAAAACACTGGCTGGTGTTTCAGAGGAGCCTGGGGGAATTATGCACGGATCTTTGAAATTTAAGCTCTGGATTTTGAAAGAATAGGTTTATTCCACACTTCACACCCTGGAAGGGCAGCTCATTGCCTGGGATGGCTGTGATGTCATCCCTTTGGGGAATTTTTTCAGATGAAGTCAGAGCAAAGTCCTAGGCCGTGTAGTGACCTCCATCTCGATCAGAACACCAGTGGTGTGATCCTGGGCTGGTGGCTTTTCAGATGCTCCTAACAGTTTCACTATCCGTCCGTCTGAGCATAGTGCTCAGTCAATATGCTGAAAATACGGTGTTCCAGCTGGGTGGTGTAACGAGGCAAAGCTGAAACTCCCTGTGGATGGGAAGAGGAGATGCACTATCCTCAGGAAGGAAAGAGAGCCCAGGATGATGATAGTAACAATCCAGCTGGGCCTGCAAGTCAACACCAGCCCTGGATTTAGCTGAGAACTTTGGCAGTTTTTGAAGTGCTTGGGATTTTGCCCTGGATCTAGGGTCTCCAGAGTGGTTGTTGTCAGGATTTGCTAGGTGGGGTAGGGCCACGGCTGCTGATGCCAATAGTCTAGGAGAGGGGAAGTGAAACCTACTGAGACTTGGGGATGAAACAAATTTGTATTAATTAAAAGCAAATGCTGTATGTTGGCTAATGGGTTCCAAAGCAGATGTTTGTCAAAATGGCCAAGAGATGGGTCATCTGAAAGCAGAAGTTATAAATAATAGCTACATTTCTAGTTATTTCATGTTTTCTTAGGTCAAAGCCAGGTGTCAGTCAGTGTTGGAAATATCATATATTGAAACATAATTGTGTTGTTACACTATAGGGAACTACGTGCCATCACTTCTGCATATCTGACCCATAAACCCAAACCCCTGTGCACTTAGAAATCTGTGCACAGCATTACATGTACAGCTCGCAGCCAGCTGAACAGACCTTTACGGGAAGGGAATGGTTTTGCAGGCAGAGGTAGGTACCATTGCTCCACCTATGACCAAATGGCTCTCTTCAATTCTATATTCAGGTGGATGCATCCTCACGAATGGCACTGGCACCTCTGCACATCTCCATCCCTGGAGGCAGCACCAAGGACTAGAGGCACTTTGCTCTGCTCAGTCCCAGGATGCAGCAGAAGGGGATGAAGAAAGAGGCACATAATCCTGTCTGTGATCCAATCCAGTTTTTCCAGGTAAGATTTCTGCGTCTATGTTGGCACCTAAATTTGGAATGTCTTACTCCTATAATGTGCTTTAATAATTTAACTGTGGTCTTCAGACCGGGTAAGTCTTCACTACTCACGCTGCAGATCAAACAGCCGATCCTGGGAGGCTCTTCCTATCAGCAGGGCTGCAGAAACATAAATACGTGTAGGGCCAAATTCACTGCTGGCACAAGTACACATAATGCACAGTCTTCAGAAAGATATACCTGCTTGCTCTTGAAATGAACATGGCCTGCTTATTTCCTCTTGGACCACTATATATAATATCCTCACGGAAACATACTCTGACCATGTTCTAGTATTTATATACGGTGTGGTACATGCTGTATAAATACCTATGGGTTCGATTGCCAGCACATAAATCAGCACAGTTAAACAAAGATACGGATTTACACTCCCTGCAATTCTGACTTTATAAATGGGTCAGTATGAGCCTGCTCCCAGCCTGGCACTTCATATGCAAATACCAGTCATTTCTTTAGGCAGTAGATGGTACGAATGGAAGTGTGGGCATCTAAATCTTCATACCAGGACTTCTGCATTCCACAGTCAGCTAGCCAGTGTGTGGATGAATGTAGAGAATACGACATAAATCTAGACTAACAGTCAAACTTCATTTTCCAGATGAAGTGAAATGCGATTTTTTCCCCCAAACTTTAAATATTTAAAGATGCTTCAGATTTAAAGAATGCTGCTCATTGTTTGTACTTAAATTTGCTTACAAATAGCGTAGTAAGGAAACATTTTTTTGAAAGGAAGAAATTTTGTTCATCTTGGGATGTATCCATGTGACTGTCTTCGTGTGTGTGTGGATGTTTAGGTATGTTTTTTATATCTTTGAAAATGTGTATGCTAGAGCAAAAAAAGACTATATTTAGAATTAATTTGTGTAAGTACATGTGCATGTAAAGACACCCTGTTATATACACACATTTTGTCACATATATATGTGCATATATAATAATGTTTGTATACACAAACACACACAAATTATGTACAGAAAATTAAGCATATGCCCATCTCACCCTAAATGGTGCATCCCTCCAAGGAACATCAAACCTATCTGTGTCAACAAACAGACCTCTCCAACCCAGGGAGATACTAATACAGATCTACAGAGAAAAACACAAATCTCTATACCTGTAAGGGCAGTTACCTGTTTAAACACCACATCTGCCCCTCTTCCAGTTACTCCCTCCCACTGCAGTCTCTGTCCCTCCCAGACAACACTCCCTAGCCAGGATCCTGTGATCTTTGCCCTCTTTTCCTTCAAATTAAATTTCAACTTTTTTTTTTTTTTTTCCAAATCTCTAGTAGAGTGACAAGCCGGTGCCAGAACTGTCTTTTAATACACAAAAGCATAAATAATGCCATCCATCAGAGCTGTCACTCAGAAAGATAGATTGCTACTTGTCCAGACACTGGAATGACACAAAAGTGAAAGTTAGAAACTGTCTCTTTTCTTTGCTCTCTTTCTTTTTCTTCTTCTTCTCCCTCTCTCTCTTTTTTTATTTGCCGGACTGCTTGATTCTGATTAATGGTGCTGTCAGGGAGGGATTCCGCTTGCCCGGATAATGAGTCAGGAATGTATTCCCTGTCACAAACACAGCAGATGTCAGGGGCAGAAGGGCCCGGGAATGCCAGAAACAATATACAGTTTCTTCCTAGTCCCCTGACAGGCCAATATGCTGCACAAGGTCTAATTTATGTAGACAAAATGCAGGCAAGGGGCTGTAGCAGCAAAGAAACTGTGCTGGGAAGTCTGAACTACAATACAGCAGGGGAGAGAGCTGAAGGGAGGTAATGAACGCTAGCAGTGGGACTCAATAGCACTGCATCAAATGGCCTTAACAAGAATGGCCCAGGACCACTTTGACTCCATTAAAGTGCACTTTACATCATTACAGAGAGAAATCAAACAGGGCAGAGGGCTTCTGTTTCCTTTAATGGCTCGATTAGGTTATTCACTCATCGGGGTTTGCAGCTGTCATAGTAATGCAGCAACTGCCAGGAGAGGTACAATAGCACTCGTGGCAGTGTGGGGCCCGTGCCCCCTCTCAAAGCGGAATGCATTCACTGGTCCTGCAAATTCCCCACGTGTATGCACCGACTGTGGCAGAGGCAGAATTAGAGGGGATTTGCCAGTCCCGCTAAAAGAATTTCAAAGCGATTTGTCTTGAGATGCCTTCACTTTTAGGGGTGGCCACCTGGAAGCACTGGAAAGGGGCCAGGTCCGTGCTGAAAGCTGAGCACCTGCCTTTGGCTATCTGGGGCCCTGGCTTGGCACACCAGCAAGAGGAGCCCACGTTGGCTGCACAGGATGCTGACCTTCCCCGTGCTGCAAAGAAACCCCAAGCTTTCCAGCTATAAAACGCTGATGTCATAAAAGTAACTCGCATATTGGGAAAATAAATTAGCATTTTGAAGTGCATGCAACTGCACTGGTCTGCTGCACTTTCTGATCAGCACTCAGGGGTGATTTGGCTTCCCAGTGCCTGTTCAGCACTTGGTGTAATCGGGTCCTGGTCCAGGAGGACTGATGCTCAGGGCTGTGGGGTGGTGTGCTTCCATCCCACAGCTACCAGGCTTCCTTACCTACATGCCACGACTAGGGAAAATGTTAGTTACAAGAGAATCATAGCTTGGGAAATGAAAAAGGGGTGATTCAAAGTCCTCTGATGTTCACCAAAGTTTCTGTATTTACATCAAAGAGTCATGAAGAAAACTCCCAAGCACCTGGGGAAAACCCCTTGAAGATGTCACGTCTAGCGACTGCTTAATTAAATCCTGTTATACTGCAAAATTCGGAGTGAAAAAAACACTTTGAAATTGGTTGTGCCAGAGGCAGTTTTCTACGGCTGTGGCTAGCAGCAAATTTCAGAGCTGCCTTTGGGTTGTGAGCCCTCTGCGATAGGGACCTTGTCTTGTTCCTCCCTGAGCTGCTGGCACAGGGGAGCCCTGGTCTGGGGAAGAGCTTCCTCCCACAGCAATAACACTGTAATAGCTGTTACCACAACAGGACTAGTCACTTGAAAGGGATTAATTCCTGTCTGGGATAAGTGTACTCATCTCCTCCCTAAATCTAGTTCTAGACCTTTTTTCTGAGGTCAGTCTTTCCAGTCTTAAAATGAACACCTTAAGGCATTCTCATCTTTATCTCACCTTTGAGTGTTTAGTCGTAGGCTGAACACAGCCATTTCACTGTCTTTAACCACGGTAAAAACAGTAATAAAAGGAAGAATATGTGAGCTGTTGTTCTCCAAGAGCCTGCTCTGGCTTTTATTTCCCTGCTTCTTAACTTGGGTTCTTAAGATGGGTTCTGCCACCCAGAGCCACAAGAGCAGGCAGGAGCTGCTTGGAATGGGGAAGGGTAGTCAGGATGCTGGGACTCGCAGATTGCATGGCCAGATTGAATAGGATTAAATGGAGGTCCTGAGTTTTCCCCTGACACTGTGCAGTACCCCAAGGCCTCGTGTATGCAGCACGTATTTTGGAGCAGTAAATCTAGGCAGCTTGTCTGAAAGTGACGCTGTTCTGGAGAAGCCTGTTTACACCGGTCACGGAGCTGTGCTAGCAGGGTCAGGTTTGCCAGACCCACGCTCTGAAGGCACGATGATATTTTTAGTCAGATGAGTATAAATCCAGCCACGGGGCCATATTTGATTTCATTTGCAGCAGCAGCAGCAGTCCAGAGCAGCTCTACTGCAAACACCGGCCTGTTTGTTCAGCAGCACAGCGTGGCACAGTGTGAGCCTCGGGGACAGGGGTGGCTGCAGAGCTGTCCCGCTGCTGGTTGCTGCTGCAGCAACTTGGCTTTATGGGGGCACAAAGGGCATGCTCAGCCCCCTCCACTGAAACCCAACTAGTGACTTTGTATTTGCCTAGGTGAAATCTCGTGTACTTCTGAGCCTCACAAAACCAAAGAAGTTGTCTCTGAAATGACATTTCCTACAAATGCCTGGAGTCCTTATCCTCTTGGATCCAGCAGTCAAGTCCATTCTCTCTACCTACAAATGAAGTCTTTCTGATCAGAGTAATGCAAGGAAAAAGAAAGGTTGCTTCCCAAGTCAATTGGCGGCCTTGTCCACAACACAGGGGACTGTAACTTGCATTGAAAAGACATTTCTTTCTAATTGAGTTATGTGTTTTGTGTTTTCTTTTTATTTTTTTTTTCTCCTAAAGCTCAACGTGTTTTTTATTTAAAATAACTTTATCTGCTTAGAATGTCCCTAATCAGAACCAGCACCTAACAGCCTGAAAATAAAGGAAATAAAATTAAAGATTGAAATTGTGTTGGTTTTACAAGCCTGAGGCCTTGTGAGGCTTGCTTCAGGAGAGGGGAGGGTAGGCAAGGGGCTCATTTTTCTTGGTTTTGCTTGTATTACTCTGATCAAAGAAGCATATTGTTAAGTAAGCACAAGTGTGGATTTAGAAATTTAGCACATTAAGACAGCTGTGATTGACATCAGATTGCAAGAGCCGGTGCTTGAAGGGAGTGCAGAGCAGAGAGATGGGGACGAGAAAGGTTCTCAGGTGCTGGCAGAGGGAGCTGGGCAGGACAGGGCACAGAGACTGAGCAAAATGGGCTTCTGTGGTGCTGCAGGTTAGGTATAGAGCAAGACTGTGAAAACTGTGAAAATTTGCTCTCTCTCCCTCTTGCTTTGTGATTTAAAGAGGGAGCTGGGTCTCAGCCCTGCTGGGGGAAACCAGGCTGAGCTCCTGGCACCTTCCTCAGCTGTAATGGAAATCCTATGGAAGCAGTTATGACGTGGACATTAATAACAATACAAGGAGTGCTCCACAGGCTGAGCATGGTTATGTATTACCAGTGGTGCTGAGACGAATGAGCACTGGTTAACAGCACAGCCTTGACTGTATGCTCTTGCATATCGCGTGTTTTTGGGAAGGGAACCCTCCAACCTCTCCGTCCCCCCTCGAGTCAGCGTTAGCAAGCAGCAGCTGAGCAT